CTATTAGGATTGGTTAAGGGAACTAGACCTAACTATGCTATTGGAAAAAATAATCAGAGGGGACATGAATGCTGTGAATCAGAGGGGATATAACACATTTTAGTTACTGTGGGGTAATTGATTAGGTCGGCAATGAGAGCATCTTTAAAGTGAGAAAAAGTAGGACGAGTGGACCTAAATCGAAGCTGGAAAGGGAAATTAGTCGACGAAATTCTCGTACCTTTTACTGGTAGTCAATAAGTGGAATGCATTGAAATAATTATTTGTAGAAGCCACCTTCATCAATGAATTCAAACTTCAGAATAGTTAATTATGAGAAAAGATTTACAACAAGGCTAGAAGCAAGGGGGTATAAATAGCCATGGCTAACTTCCTCGTAGCTACTAATAGGTAAGTAGTGTTAAATAGGAAAGTACTGGCGTGAACGCAAGTGCTAACATTTAACCAATGAAGGAATTAAAGTCTGTTCTTTACTAATATATTTATTGACAAGATTGTTGATGTGACATGACCACATCTAATTTTGCCAGCTGCAGCTCTCGGCAGCATTATCGTCCTGAAATTACATATCAGTATTAGTTTATTTAATCTGAAAATGTTATACATGGTAAATTATATGATTTTCAAGATTCTAATTTTATAGACACTAAAACTGCAAATATTAATCGTATTAATTACCGTAGTAGCCATATCTCCTGCCATATCCGCCAAGGCCGCCAATGCCACCAAGGCCGCCACCAAATCCACCAATCCGCCACCAAATCCACCAAAACCGCCGCCAAATCCACTAATTCCACGGCCAAATCCACCAATACCGCGACTAAATCCACCAAGACCGCGGCCAAGTCCACCGCCTAGTCCACCGCCCAGTCCACCGCCCAGTCCACCTAAGCCAACACCACCAAGTCCACCGCCCAGTCCACCTAAGCCAACTCCACCAAGTCCACCACCCAGTCCACCTAAGCCAACACCACCAATTCCGCGGCCAAGTCCACCTAAGCCAACACCACCAATACCGTGGCCAAGTCCACCTAAGCCAACACCACCATGTCCGCCGCCTGTTGGTAGAAATATTTGGGTGTAAGACAAAGTTGAGGATTTTCAAAGGTTCGAGCTCGGGGCTGAAAACAACGAGACTTTTGTTCTGCCAACCAGGTCACTGACACTCGCAATATGGAAGGATCTTAGAAACACCTTCCTTACTATTGTTCTTGATAAGATAGATAAGATAAGTCTCATAGTTTTGAGACCTGAGTTCGAATCTCCAATGATCCAAGTTTAAACAAATAATTATCCACAATATTGACTATAACATTCAGGTTTAGTACATAATAACGGATTAATATGAACATGTCTCACCTAGTCCTCCATATCTATTATAGATTATACCGCCATAGGAGACGCCCACCATCAGGGCCAGCACTGTTAAGATGGACTGGAATCTCTGTTAAAACAAAGAGTGTGAGAAACTTTGTTACATATATAAAGATTATATTTTAACAATATAATTTGATCATTACATATAGGACGCAGAAAGTGATTTATATTATTATTATATTATAAGCTTCATATAGAACCATAATAAATAAATAACTGTAAATTATTTATATTTTAACACTATCACTTGATCATTACATATAGGAAGCAGAAAATGATTTAACTTCATATAGAAATAAAATAAATAACTGTAAATTACCATGGTTGTAGAGTGTATGTCTCTGAGGAGAGGACTTACAGTGATGGTGAGATTGAGCGTCCAAGTGCTTTTATAGTGCTGGAGGAACTTTCTGCCCTGCGACGTTCCTGACCTCGCTGACCTTGCTCTGCTATCAAGCTCTGACACAGCAGTTTTTTTTATTTTTACATTAGGTTTTACATTACTGCCTCATATTTTTTTTCAAATTACTGCCTCTTGTCATCTGTGTCTTATAGCTCTAGTCTCTTGCACTTCAAGATTGGGAACATCACTTTATGATCATTATTACTACAGCTTCGTTTCATCGAGTTCTCAAGGCTTTTGTTGAATATTTGTTAATACGACATTTCTGGAGACAAACATGAATTTAAGTTATGAATTTTACCAAAAATTTGGCACCCCGTTTAATACCTGGTTCACATGGTCCTTAGTACAGACTCGAGATGTTGGAAGGAAATTTGTCTGATGATTCTTCAGGTTTAGCGCGCTGTGGTGGCGATACAGAGGTCACTAGTCATCTAGTCATTTTTTTAATATATTTGGTATATAGAATAAAATAATTATTCTTCCTTTTACAAGCCAGAATTATTACCTACCTTTTCTGCATTATATGTAAAAATTGATCACCTCCAAGTATTTTACACTTATTTTTAACCTCAATAAACTATTATAATAATGGTGAATTACCAACTATGATATTTATTAATCTTCTGGTGGAGTGAAATAGTGGTTGCTAATCTTTTGGTGGAGTAAGCCGGGGTGACTCTCCTTTTGGTGGAGTGAGCCGGGGTGGCTAATCCTGTGATGGAGTAAGCCGGGATAGCTAATCCTCTGCTGGATTGAGCCGGTGTGGCTAATCCTCTGATGGAGTGAGGCGGGGTGGTTAATCCTATGATAAAGTGAGCCGGGGTTGCTAATCCTCCGATGGAGTGAGCCGGGGTTGCTAATCCTCTGCTGGAGTGAGCTGGGGTGGCTAATATTCTGGTGGCGTGAGCAGGGTTTGCTAATCTTCTGTGAGCAGGGATTGCTAATCTTCTGGCAGAGTGAGTAAGGTCTGTTAATCTTTTGGTGGAGTGAGAAGGTTTTCTAATCATCTGCCAGAGCGAGGAAGGTTTGGTAATCTTCTGGTGTAGAGGGCTATGGTGGATAATATTCAAGTCTAGTGAACTGAGGAGATACAAGCCAGGAGGAAAGAGTAGTTCTTCAGATGGGGCAGAGTGGGGCGGCGTTTCTGGAGCAGGCTTGGATGACCTGCTTCAGGTTAATGTTCAAGTATTTCCAAATAATTATGTTCAGAGTCATGACTCAAAATTTTTTATGTTATTAACTTGTATATCTTTTTATGTTATTGATATCCTGAACTTGGCGGCCAGGCTGTGTACTTGGCAGGGGTGTGTGTGTGTGGGGAGGGGGGGATGGCTGCCAAGTACACATCCTAGTTAACAAGTACACACCCTAGCTACCATGTAAACACCCTCGCTGCCATGTACACACTCTGGCTGCCATGTTCATACCTGGGATGTCAAGTACACATCCGGGCTGTCAAATACCCATATTTTGAAATACACACACATGGGTTGCCAAGTAAGCAACCAAGCTGTCAAGTACACGCCATGTTTTTCGAGTACACAACCAGGTAGTGATATACAAACCCGCGTTGTCAAGTACACACCACGGTTGTCAGGTGCACACCAGTGTTATCAAGTACAATCCAGGGTTGTAAAGTACATACCAGGGTTGTCAAGTACTCACTAGGGTAGTAAAGTACACACCAGGGTTGTCAAGATCAAACCATAGATGTCAAGTAGTCACTAGGGTTGTAAAGTGCCCACCAGGGTTATCAAATACACACCAGGGTCCTGAAGTACACACCTGTGTTGTCAAGTACACATTACGGGTGTAAAGGACTCACTAGGCTTCTCAAGTACACACCAGGGTTGTCAACTACACACTAGAGCTGTCAAGTACACACAAGGGTTGTCAAGTACACATTAGTGTTGTCAAGTACACACTAGGGTTGTAAAGTATACAGAACAGTTGTTAAGTACACACAACAGTTGTTAAGTACACACAAACATTTGTTAAGTACACACTAGGATTATGATGTACACACCAGTGTTGTCAAGTACACCCCAGGGTTGTCACGCACACACCAGGGTAATCAAGTACACATCAGGGTTGTCAGGCGCACACCAGGGTTGTTAAATACACATCAGTGTTGTAAATTTGTCTTTCATCTCATCTTTCTTCAACCTGAACATTCCCATTGCACGTTTAATAAATATTTCCTTAGTTCTTTTGTAAGTTTATCCAACTTTTCTTTATTAGTTGCTAGCTAAGACGATATTATTTGAGAAATTGTATGTTTTTCCTATTTTCATATCAAGTAAGCACCATGAGGAATGTTTGGGTGTCTCTTCTTGTTAAAATAAATCACTTAACATTCGTTATTTTCTGATTACCTGTCTCATTCACTAATGAGGATTATAATAATTTGTATAAACATTTCATGAGAACGGAAACCATTTCCTGTTTTTAGTAACAGTCAAGTAAAGCGAGGGAAATGCAGATATAGTCAGGTATGTCTTAACGTAGTTAAGTGTCCTTCAACAGTCAGGTATGTCTTAACGTAGTTAAGTGTCCTTCAGCAGTCAGGTGTGTCTTAACGTTATTGAGTGTTCTTTAACAGTAACTAACGTAGTTCATTGAGCAACGCTGCAATTTAGAAATCTCAGGACATTGCAGAAAAATTATCTCTATAAATTTTGTTGTTTCTTTTCTTAAACTTAGTAATGAAAAATATATTGAGATCAATTTATTACCTATCACGAGAGCTAAGCGGCCTAAACTATTAGGATTGGCTAAGGGAACTAGACCTAACTATGCTATTAGAAAAAATAATCAGAGGGGACATGAATGCTGTGAATCAGAGGGGATATAACACATTTTAGTTACTGTGGGGTAATTGATTAGGTCGGCAATGAGAGCATCTTTAAAGTGAGAAAAAGTAGGACGAGTGGACCTAAATCGAAGCTGGAAACGGAAATGAGTCGACGAAATTCTCGTAGTCAATAAGTGGAATGCATTGAAATAATTATTTGTAGAAGCCACCTTCATCAATGAATTCAAACTTCAGAATAGTTAATTATGAGAAAAGATTTACAACAAGGCTAGAAGCAAGGGGGTATAAATAGCCATGGCTAACTTCCTCGTAGCTACTAATAGGTAAGTAGTGTTAAATAGGAAAGTACTGGCGTGAACGCAAGTGCTAACATTTAACCAATGAAGGAATTAAAGTCTGTTCTTTACTAATATATTTATTGACAAGATTGTTGATGTGACATGACCACATCTAATTTTGCCAGCTGCAGCTCTCGTCAGCATTATCGTCCTGAAATTACATATCAGTATTAGTTTATTTATTCTGAAAATGTTATACATGGTAAATTATATGATTTTCAAAATTGAAATTTATTGACAATAAAACTTGCAAATAACAATCGTGTTAATTACCGTAGTAGCCATATCTCCTGCCTTATCCACGAAGGCCGCCAAGGCCACCAAGGCCGCCACCAAGGCCGCCACCAAAGCCGCCAATGCCACCAAGGCCGCCGCCAATGCCACCAAGGCCGCCACCAAGGCCGCCACCGAATCCACCAAGGCCGCCACGGAATCCACCAAGGCCGCCACCAAGGCCGCCACCGAATCCACCAAGGCCGCCACCTAATCCACCAAGGCCGCCACCAAGGCCGCCACCGAATCCACCAAGGCCGCCACCTAATCCACCAAGGCCGCCACCGAATCCACCAATGCCGCCACCAAACCCACCAATTCCACGGCCAATTCCACCAGTACCGCGACCAATTCCACCAGTACCGCGACCAAATCCACCAATACCTTGGCCAATGCCACCAATACCGTGACCAATGCCACCAATACCGTAGCCAAGTCCACCTAAGCCAACACCACCACGTCCGCCGCCTGTTGGTAGAAATATTCGGGTGTAAGACATAATGTTGTGGATGATCAGAGATGCGAACTCGGGCCTCAAAACAACGAGACTAGTGTGCTGCCAACTAGGTCACTGATGCTTGCAATGTGGAAGGATCTTGGAAATACCTTCCTTACTGTGAGGATCGATATTCTGGTCGGAAAGATATAATCTCGTACTTTTGAGACCTGAGTTCGAGTCTCCAGTGATCCAAGTGAAAGAAATTGTATTATCCATAAAATGACTATATAACATACAGTTTTAGTACATAACAGACTTAATATGAACATATCTCACCTAGTCTTCCATATCTATTATAGATTACCCCGGCATAGGAGACGCCCACCATCAGGGCCAGCACTGTTAAGATGGACTGGAATCTCTGTTATAACGAAGAGTGTGAGAAACTTTGTTACATATATAAAGATTATATTTTAACAATATAATTTGTTCATTACATATAGGACGCAGAAAGTGATTTATATTATTATTATATTATAAGCTTCATATAGAACCATAATAAATAAATAACTGTAAATTATTTATATTTTAACACTATCACTTGATCATTACATATAGGAAGCAGAAAATGATTTAACTTCATATAGAAATAAAATAAATAACTGTAAATTACCATGGTTGTAGAGTGTATGTCTCTGAGGAGAGGACTTACAGTGATGGTGAGATTGAGCGTCCAAGTGCTTTTATAGTGCTGGAGGAACTTTCTGCCCTGTAACGTTCCTGACCTCGCTGACCTTGCTCTGCTACCCAGCCCTGACACAGCAGTTTTTTTATTTTTACATTAGGTTTTACATTACTGCCTCATATTTTTTTCAAATTACTGCCTCTTGTCATCTGTGTCTTATAGCTCTAGTCTCTTGCACTTCAAGATTGGGAACATCACTTTATGATCATTATTACTACAGCTTCGTTTCATCGAGTTCTCAAGGCTTTTGTTGAATATTTGTTAATACGACATTTCTGGAGACAAACATGAATTTAAGTTATGAATTTTACCAAAAATTTGGCACCCCGTTTAATACCTGGTTCACATGGTCCTTAGTACAGACTCGAGATGTTGGAAGGAAATTTGTCTGATGATTCTTCAGGTTTAGCGCGCTGTGGTGGCGATAAAGAAGCCACTAGTCCACTAGTCATTTTTTGAATATATTTGGTATATAGAATAAAACAAAATTATTCTTCCTTTTACAAGCCAGAATTATTACCTACCATTTCGGCATTATATGTAAAAATTGATCACCTCCAAGTATTTTACACTTATTTTTAGCCTCAATAAACTATTATAATAATTGGGAATTATCAGCTATGATATTTATTAATCTTCTGGTGGAGTGAAATAGTGGTTGCTAATCTTTTGGTGGAGTCGTTAGACTCCACCAAAGACGCAGTTAGTTAGACGCAGCCGCGTCTAACAGCCTGGTTGATCAGTCCAGCAACCAGGAGGCCTGGTCGACGACCGGGCCGCGGGGACACTAAGCCCCGGAAGCACCTCAAGGTAGCCTCAAGGTAGGTAGGAGTAAGCCGGGGTGACTCTCCTTTTGGTGGAGTGAGCCGGGTCAGCTAATCCCGTGATGGAGTAAGCCGGGGTGGCTAATCCTCCGATGGAGTGATCCTTGGTGGCTAATCCTCTGCTGAAGTGAGCCAGGGTGGCTAATCCTTTGATGGAGTGAGTCTGGGTGGCTAATCCGCTGCTGGAGTGAGCCGAGGTGGCTAATCCTCTGATGGAGTGAGCCGGGGTGGGTAATCCTCTGATGGAGCGAGCCGGGAAAGCTAATCCTCTGATGGAGTAAGCCTGGGTGGCTAATCCTCTGGTTGATTGAGCTGTGTTGGCTAATATTCTGGTGGCGTCAGCGGGGTTTGCTAATCTTCTGGTGGAGTAAGTAGGGTTTGCTAATCATCTGGCAGAGTGAGGAAGGTTTGGTAATCTTTTGGTGTAGAGGGATTTGGTGGATAATATTCAAGTGGAGTGAACTGAGGAGATACAAGCCAGGAGGAAGGAGTAGTTCTTAAGATGGGGCAGAGTGGGGCGGCGTTTCTGGAGCAGGCTTGGGTGACCTGCTTCAGGTTAATGTTCAGTTATTTCCAAATAATTATGTACAGAGTCATGACTCAATAAATTTTATCTTTTTATGTTATTATATCTTTTATGCTAATTGTTGTTGCAGCAATTGTCTAAAATTTAAACTTTCTGATTTACATTCATTAATTATTCTTACCAACAGGCGTCGGACTTGGTGGCGTTGGTTGGTTGGTATTGATGGCTTTGGCCACACTCTTGGCGGATTTGACAGCGGCCTTGATGGTTTCCGTGATGGTTTTGGCGGCTAGGGCATGAGATATGGTGTCTATTGTAATTAATTAGCTTTTCATTTACCTGGGATGAGGCGAGGCAGCTTTGAGCTGAGTGGATAGAACTTCCGTCTGTCACCCGTGACGTCTGTGGTTCGAGTCTCCTTGAGCCCCGGTGAATTAAATGTTTATTACCTCGGTAGTATGCATGCCAATATAATAATTAGATTAATATAAATTTTGTTGCCACTAACATGTTTATTCTGAAAATTCATTATAAGAACATGTATATATGATTGTTTTGTATTGCATCATGATAGGCATACTTTGAATATTGGTGAGATTTTTACACACACACTCACACACACACACACACACACACACACACACACACACACACACACACACACACACACACACACACACACACACACACACACACACACACACACACACACACACACACACACACACACACACACACACACACACACACACACACACCAATCCTGGAATATGCAGCTCCAGCTTGGATTCCATACCTAGTTAAACATAAGACAAAGTATGAGAAGATTCAGCGGTATGCCACCAGACTCGTCCCGGAACTGAGAGGCATGAGCTATGTGGAAAGGCTAAAGGAGCTGAACCTCACATCCCAGGAAAACAGAAGAGTAGGGGGAGACATGATAGCCACCTTCAAAATTCTCAGGGAATTAATAGGGATGGACAAAGACAAACTATTTAGCACGGGTGGAACACGAACAAGGGAACACAGGTGGAAACTAAGTACCCAAGTGAGCCAAAGATACACTAGAAAGATTTGTTTCAGTGTTAGAGTAGTAAACAGATGGAATGAACTAAGAAGTGATGTGGAGGAGGCTGACCCCATACTCAGTTTTAAAGGTAGATATGATAGAGCCCAGTAGGCTCAGGAACCTGTTCACCAGTTTTTTCACGGTTGAGATGCGGGACCAAAGAGCCAAGACTCAACCCCAGCAAGCACAACTAGGTGAGTACAAACTGAAAATACAAATTATCCACAAAATATGCATTTAGCTGATATATATAGCTACGTTATTGCTAAAGCTCTTGAAAAATTCTTCAATGGATCATTGTATGATATCCTTTATGATAAAACAACATGGCAGAGATGTTAATATCTTAATATTTTATTAATATACCAGTTAATATCTACGTTGCAGGAAATGACCATGTACGGACAACATGAACCCTCCAGTGAAGGTCATGGCCGAGAGCTCGTTCAAGGGCTGCTAAGAACAACCAAGTATCCTGATTTTATACCACTCCAACACAAGTAAAAGGAGTTTACTAGTAGCCACAAGGACATTGAGGTGTTCCATCCAGCAGTTAAGTCTACTGTCTCACCAACCACTATCAAACGAAGGAAGGCAGAAAAAGAACATGATGGGACATCAGCAGTACCAGCTGCAAGTGTACCATGGCTTCCACAAGAAGAGAATGAGATTAAAAGGGAGTCTCTTCCTCAGCGAGATGGAAGAGGGGTTGATCAAACAACAGTAGCTATATATTATGTTACTGCTTTATGTATTTTTCCCCCTCTTTTGTTTTGAGTCTTATTTATTGTGCCAAAATGCATACACGCGCACACACGCGCACACACGCGCACACACACACACACACACACACACACACACACACACACACACACACACACACACACACACACACACACACACACACACACACACACACACACACACACACACACACACACACACACACACACACACACCACACGCACACGCACACACGCACGCACGCATGCACACACACACACACACACACACACACACACACACACACACACACACACACACACACACACACACACACACATACACACACGCACACGCACACACGCACGCACACACACACACACACACACACACACACACACACACACACACACACACACACACACACACACACACACACACACACACACACACACACACACACACACACACACACACACACACACACACACACAAACTGGTTTGTTAACGTAGCTTTAATGGAGCTCGGAGCTCAGTAGGCTCAGGAATCTGTACACCAGTTGACTTACAGTTAAGAGGCGGGACAAAAGAGATACAGCTCAAACCCGGCACGCACACACCTCTATGAAGATATGAAGAGACACCGGAAGATGAAACTGGAAAAGCTGGACATGATGAGTTATGGGTGGACAAGTTAATGAGAAAGATGGTGATGAGGATGATGATAATGATAAGGCGGGGAAGGAGGTCTGAGGAAGGAGACACACTAGGTGAGTACAAAAGTTCCTGTCAAACTGGTCTACTTTCACCTCTGGTGAAGAGCATAATTGTTCTGAAAGAGTCAATGAACCACCTATTTCAAGGTTAGGAGGCGGAGTCCAGGAGCAAGAGCCTGAAATCTGATAGGAAAATTATGAAGAGGGTATATATTTTGACCTTGAGATACACCTTGATCTTGGAATTCAAGTTCAGACCAAAGTTGTTGTCAAGTACACACCTTGGCTGTCAAGTACACACCCTGGCTGAAAAGTACACACCCTGGCTGAAAAGTACACATCCTGGGGGCCAAGTACTCATCCTGGGTGTCAAGTACACACCCTGGCTGCCAAGTACACAATCTGGCTGCCAAGTACACATCTTGGCTGCCAAGTACACATCCTGGCTGCCAAGTACACACCCTGGCTGCCATACACACACCCTGGCTGCCATGTTCACACCTGGGATGTCAAGTATATACCTAGGCTGTCAGGTACACATCCGGGCTGTCAAATACCCATATTTTGAAATACACAAACATGGGTTGCCAAGTAAGCAACCAAGCTGTCAAGTACACGCCATGTTTTTCGAGTACACATCCAGGTAGTGATATACAAACCCGCGTTGTCAAGTACACACAAGAGTTGTCAAGTACTCACCAGGGTTGTCAAGTGTACACCAGTGTTATCAAGTACAATCCAGGGTTGTAAAGTACATACCAGGGTTGTCAAGTACACACCAGTGTTGTCAAGTACACACCACGGGCGTGAAGTACTCTCTAGGCTTGTCACGTACACACCAGGGTTGTCAAGTACACACCAAAGCTGTCAAGTACACTCACTATAGTTGTCAAGTACACACAAGGGATTACAAGTACACACCAGGGTTGTCAAGTACACATTAGTGTTGTTAAGTACACACTAGGATTGTGATGTACACACCAGTGTTGTCAAGTACACCCCAGGGTTGTCAAATACACATCAGGGTTGTCAGGCACACACCAGGTTTGTCAAGTACACATCAGTGTTGTAAATTTTTCTTTCATCTCATCTTACTTCAACTTGAACATTCCCATTGCACGTTTATTAAATATTTCCTTAGTTCTTTTGTAAGTTTATCCAACTTTTCTTTACTAGTTGCTAGCTAAGACGATATTATATGAGAAATTGTTTGTCTTTCCTATTTTCAGATCAAGTAAGCACCATGAGGAATGTTTGGGTGTCTCTTCTTGTTAAAATAAATCACTTATCATATGCTATTGTCTGATTACCTGTCTCATTCACTAATGAGGATTATAATAATTTGTATAAAAATTTCATGAGAACGGGAACCATTTCCTGTTCTTAGTAACAGTCAAGTATAGCCAGCGAAATGCAGATAAAATAGATATAATAAACAAGTAAATTTTACTTCTGGGATGAGTTTTTCTCTAAAGAACAATATTCAACATTCAGAACAGTTCACTACGGGCTCACCATACTCCGTGCTGTGTGGAACATTTGTTCCCAGTAGCTGAATCTAAAACAACAACAACAAGCAAACACTAACACTAAAGCTATGGTGAACATTCTTTATGGTCAGTCATTTAAGAGGACTATGTGAATATGTTGCTGTGTAAATAAGGTAAGATAATTGAGTGTTAAAATTTTTTGAAATATTTGAAATTAAATAGATCTTCTAAAACTTGAGGCTAATAATGTTAAGTGTCCTTCAACAGTCAGGTATGTCTTAACGCTGTTGAGTGTTCTTTAACAGTAACTAACGTAGTTCATTGAGCAACGCTGCAATTTAGAAATCTCAGGACTTAGCAGAAAAATTATCTCTATAAATTTTGTTGTTTCTTTTCTTAAAGTTAGTAATGAAAAATATATTGAGATCAATTTATTACTTATCACGAGAGCTAAGCGGCCTAAACTATTAGGATTGGTTAAGGGAACTAGACCTAACTATGCTATTGGAAAAAATAATCAGAGGGGACATGAATGCTGTGAATCAGAGGGGATATAACACATTTTAGTTACTGTGGGGTAATTGATTAGGTCGGCAATGAGAGCATCTTTAAAGTGAGAAAAAGTAGGACGAGTGGACCTAAATCGAAGCTGGAAACGGAAATGAGTCGACGAAATTCTCGTAGTCAATAAGTGGAATGCATTGAAATAATTATTTGTAGAAGCCACCTTCATCAATGAATTCAAACTTCAGAATAGTTAATTATGAGAAAAGATTTACAACAAGGCTAGAAGCAAGGGGGTATAAATAGCCATGGCTAACTTCCTCGTAGCTACTAATAGGTAAGTAGTGTTAAATAGGAAAGTACTGGCGTGAACGCAAGTGCTAACATTTAACCAATGAAGGAATTAAAGTCTGTTCTTTACTAATATATTTATTGACAAGATTGTTGATGTGACATGACCACATCTAATTTTGCCAGCTGCAGCTCTCGTCAGCATTATCGTCCTGAAATTACATATCAGTATTAGTTTATTTAATCTGAAAATGTTATACATGGTAAATTATATGATTTTCAAGATTCTAATTTTATAGACACTAAAACTGCAAATATTAATCGTATTAATTACCGTAGTAGCCATATCTCCTGCCATATCCGCCAAGGCCGCCAATGCCACCAAGGCCGCCACCGAATCCACCAATGCCGCCACCAAATCCACCAAAACCGCCGCCAAATCCACTAATTCCACGGCCGAATCCACCAACACCGCGACTAAATCCACCAAGACCGCGGCCAAGTCCACCGCCTAGTCCACCGCCTAGTCCACCGCCCAGTCCACCGCCCAGTCCACCTAAGCCAACACCACCAAGTCCACCGCCCAGTCCACCTAAGCCAACTCCACCAAGTCCACCACCCAGTCCACCTAAGCCAACACCACCAATACCGTGGCCAAGTCCACCTAAGCCAACACCACCAATACCGTGGCCAAGTCCACCTAAGCCAACACCACCATGTCCGCCGCCTGTTGGTAGAAATATTTGGGTGTAAGACAAAGTTGAGGATTTTCAAAGGTTCGAGCTCGGGGCTGAAAACAACGAGACTTTTGTTCTGCCAACCAGGTCACTGACACTCGCAATATGGAAGGATCTTAGAAACACCTTCCTTACTATTGTTCTTGATAAGATAGATAAGATAAGTCTCATAGTTTTGAGACCTGAGTTCGAATCTCCAATGATCCAAGTTAAAACAAATAATTATCCACAATAGTGACTATATAACACGCAGGTTTAGTACAAAATAACGGATTAATATGAACATATCTCACCTAGTCCTCCATATCTATTATAGATTATACCGGCATAGGAGACGCCCACCATCAGGGCCAGCACTGTTAAGATGGACTGGAATCTCTGTTATAACGAAGAGTGTGAGAAACTTTGTTACATATATAAAAATTATATTTTAACAATATCACTTAATCATTACTTATAAGATGCAGAATGTGATTTATATTATTATTATATTATATGCTACATATAGAAGCAAAATAAATAACTTTAAATTACCATGGTTGTAGAGTGTATGTCTCTGAGGAGAGGACTTACAGTGATGGTGAGATTGAGCGTCCAAGTGCTTTTATAGTGCTGGAGGAACTTTCTGCCCTGCGACGTTCCTGACCTCGCTGACCTTGCTCTGCTACCCAGCTCTGACACAGCAGCTTTTTTTTTAAGTTAGGGGTATTTTCACATTATTATCTTTCGTCATCTTTGTCTTATAGCTCCAGTCTCCCTCACCTCAAGGTGGAGAAACTAAATATCGATATGATCAATTTAAATGATCATATCAATCGTGAAATAATCATTACTCATTTCACGAAATACTTTGATCATTGCTCTGATGAGCAATAATCTTGCAATGATCATTGCTCATTTCACGAAACACACCATAAATCTGTTGACTACTGTTCCCGTCATCTTGCCCGCTCTGAAAATGCACATTAATTTAAAAATCTCACCATTACTCAAAGTGTCATGTATACATGTTCATGTAAGTAATTTTCAGAATAAACATGTTAGTGGCAACAAAATGTATAATAATTTAATTAATTACCATAGACACCATATCTCCTACCCTAGCCGCCAAAACCATCACAGAAACCGTTAAGGCCGCCAAATCCGCCAAGAGTGTGACCAAAGCCATCAATACCAACCAACCAACGACCAAGACCAACGCCACCAAGTCCAAAGCCTGATAGTAATAATAATTAATGAATCAGAAAGTTAAAATTTTAGACAATTGCTGCAACAACAATTAGCATGAAAGAGATCAATAACATAAAAATATATGTAAATTAATAACTGCCAAAATTTATTGAGTCATGACTCTGTACATAATTATTTGGAAATACTTGAACATTAACCTGAAGCAGGTCACCCGAGCCTGCTCCAGAAACGCCGCCCCACTCTGCCCCATCTGAAGAACTACTCCTTCCTCCTGGCTTGTAACTCCTCAGTTCATTAGACTTGAATATTATCCACAATAGCCCTCTACACCAGAAGATTACCAAACCTTCCTCACTCTGCCAGAAGATTAGCAAACCCTACTCACGCCACCAGAAGATTAGTCACCCCAGCTCACTCCACCAGAAGAAGGACCCCCCCTGTACATACACCATCATTAGCATGGTGGCCTCTCTAGCAAACCCAACTCAAACCAGCTTAAACGGGCATATCAACGTTTTTTACGAACGACATTTTCAGAATTATGTATATGATTTTTAGACTTGAAACATAAACATGGTTACTAAAGACATTATTTAACCCGCCTCCACAAAAATTTACATTATATTACATTTACAAAATTATTTTACATTTACATTACATTATATAATATATATATATATATATATATATATATATATATATATATATATATATATATATATATATATATATATATATATATATATTGAACAAACTGACTCTTCTCCTATGAAGGATCGAACTCTAGCCAGCCAAGTGGCAGGCCAGCATGCTAACTGATACACCACCATCAGATCGTTAAAGGGACAGTGCATCGGGCGGATAATCTGGGCTGGCCAGAGTTCGATCCTTCATGAAAATATAGTTATTATTCGTTGCTTGAAAAAAGCAATATATTTTTTTTTTTTTACAAAATATAGAAAAAAATAACTCGGGTCTCTGTATCCCCACCACAACGCACTAAACATGAAGAATCGTAGAGGAAGACAAATTTCCTTCCAATGTCTCGAGTCTGTACTAAGCACCACGTGAACCAGGTACTAAGTTGGGTGCCAAGTTTTGGTAATATTCATTACTTAAATTCAAGTTTGTCTCCTGAAATATCTTATCATCAAATATTCAACAATAGGCATGAGAACTCGACGAAACGAAGCTGTATTAATCATGAACATAATGTGATGTTTCCCAATCTCGAGGTGAAGGAGACTGGAGCTATAAGACACAGATGACAAGAGGTAGTAATGTGAAAACAGAACCTAATGTAAAAAAAAAAAAAACCTGCAGTGTCAGGGCTGGGTAGCAGAGCAAGGTCAGCGAGGTCAGGAACGTCGCAGGGCAGAAAGTTCCTCCAGCACTATAAAAGCACTTGGACGCTCAATCTCACCATCACTGTAAGTCCTCTCCTCAGAGACATACACTCAACAACCATGGTAATTTACAGTTATTTATTTAGCTTCTATATGAATCATATAATATATTAATAACTTAAATCATATTTTGCATCTTATAAGTAATGATCAAGTGATATTGTTAAAATATAAGTTTTATATGTAACAAAGTTTCTCACACTCTTCGTTATAACAGAGATTCCAGTCCATCTTAACAGTGCTGGCCCTGATGGTGGGCGTCTCCTATGCCGGTATAATCTATAATAGATATGGAGGACTAGGTGAGATATGTTCATATTAAGTCCGTTGTTATATACTAAAACTGTATGTTATATAATCATTTATATGGATAATACAATTTCTTTCACTTGGATCACTGGAGACTCGAACTCAGGTCTCAAAAGTACGAGATTATATCTTTCCGACCAGAATATCGATCCTCACAGTAAGGAAGGTATTTCCAAGATCCTTCCACATTGCAAGCATCAGTGACCTAGTTGGCAGCACACTAGTCTCGTTGTTTTGAGGCCCGAGTTCGCATCTCTGATCATCCACAACATTATGTCTTACACCCGAATATTTCTACCAACAGGCGGCGGACTTGGTGGTGTTGGCTTAGGTGGACTGGGCGGTGGATTTGGCCACGGTTTTGGAGGTATTGGCCACGGTATTGGTCACGGTTTGGGTGGATTTGGTCGCGGTGCTGTAGGATTTGGTCACGGTATTGGTGGATTTGGCGGCGGCCTTGGTGGATTCGGTGGCGGCCTTGGCGGATTCGGTGGCGGTCTCGGCGGATTCGGTGGCGGCCTTGGTGGCATTGGCGGCCTTGGCGGATATGGCAGGAGATATGGCTACTACGGTAATTAATACGATTATTATTTGCAGTTTTATTGCCAATAAAATTGGAATCTTGAAAAACATATAATTTACCATGTATAACATTTTCAGATTAAATAAACTAATACTGATATGTAATTTCAGGACGATAATGCTGACGAGAGCTGCAGCTGACAGAATTAGATGTGATCATGTCACATCAACAATCTTGTCAATAAATATATTAGTAAAGAACAGACTTTAATTCCTTCATTGGTTAAATGTTAGCACTTGCGTTCACGCCAGTACTTTCCTATTTAACACTACTTACCTATTAGTAGCTACGAGGAAGTTAGCCATGGCTCTTTATACCCCTCCTACTATCCTTGTTGTACCTGTTGTGTTATAATTTATCTATTATGAAGATTTATGTTGGTATGGAAAATGAAGATGGCTTCTTCAACTTTTTCTTTCAGTGCATTCCACTTGTTGATCACTCGTACAAGGTACGAGTATTTCGTCGACTCAGTTTCGTTTCATGCTTCCATATATGTCCACTCGTCCTGCTTTCTCTCACTTTAAAGAGGCTGTCCTTATCCACCTTATCAATTCCTCTTAGTAGCTTATGTGTTGCAATCATATCCCCTCGGATTTTTCTTTCCTCTAGCATTGTTTGGGTCACTTCCCTCAACCTATCCTCATACCCTAGGCCGCTTAGCTCTGGGAATGTTTTATAAATTAGTCTATTAATATCTTTTGATATTACTAAATTTAACAAAATAAACAATGAAATCTGTAGAGATCATTCATGTCCTATTTTAGATTTCTAAACTGCAGAGTTGGTAACTGAGCTACGTTAACTACTGTTTAAGGACACCAACTACGTTAAGACATCTCAACTACTGAGATGCCTCTCTGGCTCCATCAACGATTCCTTGTCACTCATTGCACACTTTCACTGACAGCAATATGAGTTGATCTTTGAACTTAACATTAATATCTTGACTTCAAAGCCTCGACCTTATACATTTGACCTTAAATCATTAACCATTGATTATCAGAAAAAATATCACTAAAACTTAAGAGGTCGTCCATTTATGTACGGCTGTCCACAAAATTATTTCCATTTATATTATAAATGGAAGTAGTGATCTATTTTAACAAGAAGAGACACTCAAACATTCCTCATGGTGCTTACTATTGATCTCAAAATTGAAACGACAAACAATTTGTCATATAACATCGTCTAAGCTAGCAACTAATGAGGAAAAGTTGGATAGACTAACAAAAGAACTAAGAAAATGTTTAATAAACGTGCAATGGGAATGTTCAAGTTGAAGAAAGATATAATAAGATAAAAATTTACAACCCTGATGTGTACTTGACAACCCTGATGTGTACTTAACAACCCTGATGTAATTGACAACCCTGGTCTGCACTTGATAACCCTGGTGTGTACTTGACAACCCTGGTGTGTACTTGACAACCCTGATGTGTACTTGACAACCCTGGTGTGTACTTGACAACCCTGATGTAATTGACAACCCTGGTCTGCACTTGATAACCCTGGTGTGTACTTGACAACCCTGGTGTGTACTTGACAACCCTGGTGTGTACTTGACAGCCTTGATGTGTACTTGTCAGCCCTGGTGTGTACCTGACAACCCTGGTCTGCACTTGATAACCCTGGTGTGTACTTGACAACCCTGGTCTGCACTTGATAACCCTGGTGTGTACTTGACAACCCTGGTGTGTACTTGACAACCCTGGTGTGTACTTGACAGCCTTGATGTGTACTTGTCAGCCCTGGTGTGTACCTGACAACCCTGATATGTACTTAACAACCCTGGTGTGTACTTGACTTCCCTGGTGTGTACTTAACAACCCTGGTGTGTACTTGAAAGTCCAAGTGTTTACTTGAATGCTTGGGTATGCACTTAACAGATCGAGTGTATATATGACAGCCTGAATGTGTATTTGACAGCCCTGATATTGTAAAAAATCCTGACTCCAGAATATTAATAGTAATAATAATTTCAATAATATCGAAGGACCACTCCTTTTAAAGGAAAAATAAATTAAATATATAAATTGGAAATAAATCTGAGAACCAGTGCCTATGGATCTCTTGAATAATGGCTCGTGAAAATTTTAAAGCAATAAATGGACTGTAGAATAATAATTAAATTATAGAGCCAAATCCCTCTACATTCTTTGGGGGGTTAATTAGAATATATAAATTAATATAATTCAATAATCATAAGAAGTTAATACACTTCCTATAAAAATATTAAGATATTAATATGCATCATTTAATAAAATATTGGAATATTAATGAATATTGATTATTAAATCAAATATACAATAAATATGAAAAATAAATGAAAATTAATTGACTCTCAAGAAGAAAATATCACTATCTAAAATTATAAGACTGGATAATGTCTAAGCTGTATTAGAGGAACGTAGATCGCGTCCAGCCTCTACAACATGTTGAAACCAGCCCTGAGATAGTAATCCGTGGAACACGTGAATATGGGGACAGTCACACGCCTCCTCAGTTGAAAAACACCACGCTGAAATGTAACACTTCTATAATTTCCACTCCAAACTAGTATTCACGCATTTAAACGTAAGATCTAAAATAATTGGAGGATTAGAAACTGCATTCTAGTGGGTGTTGAATTAACGCCTGCAGCATCACGACAGAGTACCCCTATTTAAGTATAATTTGAGCTAAAAAATATACAAAAGAGGATTACCGCCCTGCCGAAAATGGTGTCCGTGAATTAAATAAGCTGCGCCCTCGATTTGAAGTCCTGGGAAGTACGGATGCGTACAGCATTGATATCTTTATGTCTGGGCCGCTTCGGAACACCTTGCTGTTAGTTAGTGGAAAATGGTGAGTCTTTTCTTCCTCTCGGGTGACGCATGCGCAATAGCTCCCAGAGTTGGGATCCCGAGTATAAATTATAATATTTATTTAATATTCATTATGGAAGGAAATAGATTTGACGAATATTTATGTCATAAATAAATGTATTATGCGGCAACATATTTTCTTGTAGTGTGTGTCAATTAATTTAGACTACGCTAAATAAACGAGAAAGTTTCAGAGTGGAAATTATTTGCCCGATAATATTATTCACTGGAATAGCTAATTGTAGCTGAATAAATTAATTCCAGTAAACGAATATATATACTAAATAAAGGTAAACTTTTTAATAAACGATTATCCTTAATAAAGGAAGGTAAATGAGGCTGGATTCTACTTGATCCATTAATAAGTTGAAAATATTTCCTGTGGCTGCTGGGTAACACAACACGGCCATGATTTTAAGGAGAATTCGGGCGATACTACGCCTGAACTAAATAATGTTAATTTCACTACTCTACTGGTTAGTAGTATTAGTAAAATGTAATGGTTAGTACAAGAATTATTCTTAAACTACTAAATATTAGTAATTATATGTTGGAAATTTCCAACAGATGTGCAGGTGACAGCTCGTGTGTGTGATTGACAGCCCTGATGTGCTGGTGATTGCTTTAGTTTGTGATTGACAACAACTTGGGTCTGAACTTGAAGGCAGGAGCCATTTTTCAGACTCATGCTCCTGGGCTCCGTCTGCTAACCTTGCATTTGGTGGTACAATGATTCCTCAGAATAATTATGCTCTTCAGCGGGTTGTGCTTGCGGGGGTTGAACTTTGGCTCTTTGATCCCGCCTCCCGGGTCCGCCGATGTTATTCTTTTGATGTGGGCCTCTGGGGACAGGTTCGATGTGATATCAACCCCCAAATCCTTCTCTCTATTTGACTATTGCAGAATTTCACCTCCCAGATGGTACCTTGTGTTCAATCTTCAGTTCCCTTCGTCTAATTTCATTACTTTACACTTTCCTGATCAGCAAACATTGAGAGGAACGAGTCTATACCCTCTGGAAGATCGTTTACATATATTAGAAACAGGATGGGTCCAAGAACTGAACGCTGCTGGACTCTGCTAGTCACATCTCGCCACTCTGATGTCTCCCCCCCCCCTCACAGGTACTCGCTGTTTCCTGTTGCTTAGATACTCCCTTATCCACTGGAGTACCTTCGCTTTTACTCCTGCCTGTTGCTCCAACTTTTGTAACAGCCTTTCATGGGGTACTGTGTCAAAGGCTTTCTGACACACACACACACACACACACACACACATATATATATATATATATATATATATATATATATATATATATATATATATATATATATATATATATATATATATATATATATATATATATATATATATATATATATATATATATATATATATATATACTATACCTGGATGCTACTTCAGCATGAGTGACTGCCTCACCACATCTTAAGGGCAGTGGTTCTCGGCTGCCTCCAGAGAGTTCACTTCTTTTCGAGAGTGTGAGTCATGTTCGGCCAGTTTAGAGGCCAGGGGCTGTGAGTTCAGCGGCCGCTCATGTGCTTCGTCTACTTAGTCACAGCTTAAATCTAGCTCATGTCTGTTGCATTAGTTTTGCCAGGGGCTCAGTTCTTGGGGCCCCATAACTGTGTCACGTTAACGTAGTTTATCAGGATGCTAAAGATTAAGTAGTGTTAATAATTACATCGTGTGGTGTAAACGACCGAACTGTGTACTGTTAACGACCAGATCATGTTCTGTTAACAACTATACAGTGCTTTGTTAACGGCCAGCTGGTGTGCTGGTAGCATGATTTGACCCGAGTGCCACCAACTATTTAATGACCATGACAGGCAGAAGAAGCCGGCAGCTTGTCAAAGGTCACCCATTCATGAGCATTTTTTTCAACTTGAACTGAGGTGTTTTAGAATTAATGGCTCTCGGCGGAAGGCGGTTCTAAGGCTTCAACACCATATAGGTGAAAAAGCATCTCATTTTCTCTCTACATTTAGTCGTATTGAGTTTGAAGCTGTTGCCTCTTTTATGTGTTATATGTGATCTTTTAAAAAGGTTATCAGGATTAACATCCCCCATTTTGCTTAGTAATTTAAAAGTTTCAATGAGATCTACCTTGTCATATCTTGGTGCAGGGATGTTAGTCCTAAGCCCTCAGTCTTTCTTGATATGAGAGCCGACTTGTTGCCCAAAACCACACACTAGAAGATGAAGAGATGGCGACGTTTCGTCGTAAAAACGTTGTTACTTTACTTTTTTCTTTCTCTTCTTTTTCTTACGTTCCCATTTCTTACTCCTATTATTACCCCCTTACA